GTGGAAATCTTGGGTTTAAGGCAGTAATATAGCTGGGTGTGGCATCATCTGCTGTCACTGTGATGTGAACAAAAAACGTCAACTACACCTTATAGATGTAATTCACAAGTGACTACATTGTGCAGGAATGCTCCCAGATTGGGGTCCTGTTATACTTGTTTGCTAGGCATGTTTGATGGTCATGACATGAACATGTGATAGGCACTTGTGCTTTTGATTGCAGAATTGGCACCATGATCACTAGAGTATGCTGAAGTGGCTATGGTGCCTGGCGTGCCCCTGCATTCTCGCAGGGTATGTAGTCGAATCATTTACGAACCGTCCCAGTGTGATTTGTCAAGCCATTTTAGTACAGTAAATTACATTGGGATGTTTCCAGGGGTCTTGTGACACTATTACCACTACAGCAGGCTGTACGAGTTCTGCGACTTGGAGTGTTCCTCCACATTGAGCTCTAGGTTCATTAACATAGGGATTCAAGATGGCATGGCAAGTATGGCATCAAATCTTGTCAGCTGACCTCTTGGTCTGCCAACGTTCTTTAGGAACTGTGTTAAAATCTAACAGTCAGGTATGAAAATTCACATGTGAATTCTTTTTTTTTTTTGCCAATAAGCTTTTATTCAGTCATGAAGAAATATGGTATTTATTAATGTTGAATTTTGTTATCCACACACAAAATATGTTCAGATTACTGCTGCATTCAGAGCATAGAACATCACATGTTTCAAGATGGTGCCAACATACATCACATGACTTGGTACCACCACTTTACCTTTACAGGTTCAGCTTTAACCGCATCTGGGGGATTATCTTCGGACTATGATATTTGTCTTGTTCCTTAACCTGCGATTGTTCCATTTTCCTTCTCCCATAAGTTTGTCTCTGGGTGTTATTGTTGTTATAAAAATAAAAATTCTGAAACCAAGAAATATAAATTTGTAGAATTAAATAAAAAAATAAAAAAAATACTAATAACAGTAAGATAAAATGTGGGGGGAAAAATATAAATTTTATTTAATTTTAAATTAATGTTTTTAAAAATGTTCAGAATTTTTGTTTCATAATCCTGATGCAGAACTCCAGTTTATCCCATTTTATGTTTTTGTTGCGTATTAAAGGAACACTATAGTCACCTAAATTACTTTAGCTAAATAAACCATTTTTGGTGTATAGATCATCCCCCTGCAATTTCACTGCTCAATTCACTGTCATTTAGGCGTTAAATCACCTTGTTTCTGTTTATGCAGCCCTAGCCACACCTCCCCTGGCTATGATTGACAGAGTCTGCATGAAAAAAAACTGGTTTCACCTTCAAACAGATGTAATTTACCTTAAATAATTGTATCTCAATCTCTAAATTGAACTTTAATCACATACAGGAGGCTCCTGCAGGGTATAGCAAGCTATTTACATAGCAGGGGATAAGAAAATATTAATTAAACAGAACTTGTAATAAAGAAAGCCTAAATAGGGCTCTCTTTACAGGAAGTGTTTATGGAAGGCTGTGCAAGTCACATGCAGGTGTGACTAGGGTTCATAAGGTGGAAATCGATGTATATAGATGGGCTAATAGGGGGCCCCACATTGTTCTCCGATACATGGGATTGTGGTCCCAAGGCACAACCGGGCATAGGTTAATAATATGACGCAGCTAAGGGGAGATTACCTAAATAAAGCCCCTCACTAATATCCTGTCTACTTTTCCGCCCTCTGTTATCATGCACTCATGGTCAAACTAGACCTAGCCCTGCCGATCCCACCTCATGGGAGATACTTCCATTTATGCGACTAGATTGGTTGGTAGCCCTGTCTCCATACTGAGACAGCCCAGCAGGTTTACCCTGGTATAATTCACTCACTCAATTTTCATCTGTCAGTTTGCGCAGACTGTCTGTCCACTGTACTGTACCATTGCTTACCCACTGACATATTACACTTAAACACAACTACTGTATAAAAAATGTACAGATTCCTCAAATGTCATGACCATGCTTATCCTTAAATTATTGCATTGGCTTGTCTCTGCTGTTATGGCTCAACAAGTGTGTTTGTACACCCCTAAGCACAACAAAAATAAAGAATTAAAAATAAAAAAAAGTAAAAAAAAAAACTAAAATAGAACAAAAGAAAGAATTCAAAGTGAATTTCAAATTTGAACTCAAATGAGCCAAACGGGAAAATTTCTCAAAGTTAGCCTGAGTAACCCTGTTTGTGTTTTAGGAATGAACTTCCCAGTTTTAAGAAGATTGTTTTTGTGTGTGAAAATTCTAGTATCTGTCTGTGTGTCTATATATCTATAAGTCTGTTGACCCCCATCGTTTATGCATTATAACCCCATTTGAACATCACCCTGCAAGCACAACAGAGTTTAAAAACGTGCACCGTATGAGTCTATAGCCTCTCAGAATCCGAATTTACTCTTTCCTTGGTAGTTTACACCCAAAATAACGACATCAAGTAAAAAATGAAAAAACACCCTTTCAGCTATTATGGCAACAATGATATTTGAACTTTCACCATCTGTCCTCTGCTCACAGGTTAAAACTAATCTGACAATAAACATCTGACCTTGGATGTTCAAAAAATGGACTTTTATCAAAAGTATAAAGGTCAGAACTATGGACAGAAATGTTGAATTTCTTTTGTGATTAATAAATTCATTTTTCATTTACATAAGATGTATTGAGTACTCTCCTTCAAAGAATATATTTTTTAATGGCTAGAAACTTTGAATGCAGGGCCTAAGGACTTGTGTATCTATATCTGGAATCATTTTTGTCTGATTTCAACGGGTGGGTTTTCTTTCATGAAGCGGCGGCTTCATCAGAGGACATTGAGTTGTTCACGGATGCTTCGGGGGGGCATAGGATTTAGGGTGTATTTGGCGGGCAGGTGGTGTTCTGTGCAGTTGCCTGAGGCCTGGAAGGCAAGCCCTCTTATCTGAAATTAACTTATGGGCTGATAGGGTGGTGAATCGCTTGGGCCGTTCCAAGACGGATGTATTTGGTAAAGGTTTGCCTGGGTTAGGAGTCAGCCTGGTTTCTTGTGCATCACACCACTTGGATTTTCGCCCGGAGGTACTGTGTTGTTTTTTTTGGTACATGGGGATGGATCAACTCTGTTGAGGTTCCAATTCTTTCATGTTTTTCAGATGGGCTTGACGAGGCTGGGTTTGGATCTCATGTAGTTTGGGACCCATTCTTTCCTGATAGGTGCGGCAAGGGAGGCGTCCTGATTGGGTTTAGGTGAGGAACTGGTGAAACGTATAGGTAGGTGGGAATCGGTATGGTTTAAGTCCTACTTACGGTCAGAACGCTTGGATGTGGATTTGGCAGGTGTTGGTGGATGTTATGCCTTGTCACTGATTCTGTTTTCGTTTTAGGTTGGGTGGCCTTTTTGGTGGGCCACTCTTACATCTACTGGGCACAAAAGAGAGCAGCAGTTTGGAGACAATGAGTGTAGCTGGGCTTTCCTCTGGATTTAGTGACACTAGAGTGGTTTGGTTTTCGGGGTTTTCGGTGGCAAGGTGTTAGTGTGGAGATTTTCTGGAGGGTGGCGCCAGGCACCGCTCCCGATGTGTTGTTAATCCACGATGGGGTTAAGGATTTTGGCATGGTCCCAAAAAAGGAACTGGTCAGATGGATGAAGGGGGATGTGGACTGGCTCTGGGAGCTTGTTCCAGGTGTGGTAGTGGTATGGTCCGAGAAGGTTCCTTGGTTTCACTGGTGGCATGCCAATTACCCGGCAGCAGACACACACATAGTAACAGACTCACTAACAGACACACACACACACACTCACTAACAGACACACACACTCTCTAACAGACACATGCGCACTAACAGACACATGCACACTAACTAACAGACACACACATTAACACACTCTCTGGTAGACACACACATAGTAACACACTCACTAACAGACACACACACACACTGACACACACATACTAACACATTCACTAACAGACACTCACTAACAGACACACACATACTAACACATTCACTAACAGACACACACATAGTAACACACTCACTAACAGACACACACACACACTGCCACACACATACTAACACATTCACTAACAGACACACACATAGCAACACACTCACTAACAGACACACACACACACACTAACACATTCACTAACAGACACACACATAGTATCACACTCACTAACAGACACACACACACACTCTCTAACAGACACATACACATTAACACACTCACTAACAGACACACACACTAACACACTGGGAGCACACTAACACACACTAACACACTCTCTAACAGACACACACATAGTAACACACTAACTAACAGACACACACACTAAAAGACACACACTTAGTAAGACACACTAACAGACACACACATAGTAACACACTCACTAACAGACACACACACTCTCTAACAGACACATACAAACTTACTAACAGACACACACACTAACACACTCTTTAGTAGACACACACATAGTAACACACTCACTAACAGACACACACGCACACTGACACACACATACTAACACATTCACTAACAGACACACACATAGTAACACACACTAACAGACACACACACATGCGCACACACACACAGACACACACACTAACAGACACACTTATACACACACACTAACACACAAACACACTCACATTTTTTTTAAATTTAAAAAACCTTTGGGAATGCTGGGGTGGATTCTCTTTTTCCCTGGGGTCCAGTGGGGCTGCTGGGCGGCCGGCCGGTGAGTGCAGTCGGTGAGGGAGCTCTAATCTTCCTGTTCATCTCTCTCGCGTGCTGCATAGTGATGCCAGCACCGGAATTACGTCATATTCCGGCTCTGGCATCACTGCGGTGCGAGCTGAACAGGAGGATTAGTGTTCCCTCGCCGCGTACCCAGAAAGCTCTGCCGCTGCCAGCCTGGGGGGCCCTGAGATGGCCACCCGGCCTTGTCCTGGGTCCCCCAGGACAAGAGGCTGGTAAGGCATTTGCCAGGGCGATTGGGGTTTCTTTTTTGCCGCCCCCCAGAAAGTACTGCCCAAGGCAAATGCCCCTGGTCTTGGTACACCCCTACAACTTAATGTGGTGGAAATGTGGTCATGTTGGACGGCCAGTTTCTGTGTTAATATGTTAATATGTTAGATTGTTATTTATTGCTATTATTGTGGGGTCATTGCCAGGGGTATGTTATGTATATGGGGGGATGTTGGCGATAATAATATTTGTTGGTAATGACCCTATTTGTTATACCTTAATTAATAATCAATAAAGCTGTGGACTAATATTTCCAACAGTATAACCTGTGTCAGTGTCTTAATGGGGTTCAGGGTAAGGTAAGCGCATATGACCTTAAATCCGACTGTGCGCATGTCATGGGTCTCATAGCACAGTGTATAAAGGCTGAGTACATAAAGAATCCACTAAAAGGAATGTCAACAGCACACTGTGCAAATAAAAAATGTAGTTCTCCTTTGGAGTGGTACTCAATGACTGCCTATTTTATTTTATTTGTCATAAAATAAAATAAAAATTATTTTTTAAAAAACAGATAAAAACTATAACAGCATAAGTGACTCTGAAGTCCTCACTCCAATCATAGCCAATACAATTCTCAAGGAACCCTCTTCCCATGTGCAAGTGCTCCATTGTGGGACCAGCGATCTCCTACTGTTACCGTTACTAAGTCAGGTTTAAAAAACAAACAAACTATTCTTTGTGAACTTTGAAGTTGGTGTTCAGCGAGTGAGTGTGCTGGATTCTATATGTTGCATTAATTGGCCCCAGCAGCATCCTTAAACACTAGTCAGCCACAACGTTAAAACCACTGACAGGTGGAGTAAAAAATATTGATTATATCATTACAATGGCGCCTGTCAATGGGGTGTGACATATTAGACAGCAAGTGAACAGTCTGCTCATGTTGGAAGCAGGAATAATGTGATGGCTAGACAAGTGGGTCAGACCATCTTCAAAACCCCATGTCTTGTGTTGTGTTCCTGGTATGCAGTGGTTATTAATTACTAAAAATGGTGCAAAAGAAGACAGGTGGTTAATCTGAATCAGGGTCATGGGTCAAAGCACCCTCATATGGGACAGGAGCATCATAATTGGAAAATGTGATGGTCAATTCAGGGGCATGAGTCTAAAACTTGGGGGAAGAGATGGGGTGAGTGCAACAAATAAAGGGTTTGTTTCTCCCCCAGAAATACGTGGTATTTGGTTTCTGGATTTGGTTTTTTTTCTCACCTGACAGAGACGACCCCCACAATACCAAATATGTGAACCAAAAGTGATATTGGAGGAGGCGGAGCCGTGACCCAGAGCCGAGGGACATCAGTGCTGGGATCAGGTGAGTAAATAAAGGGTTTTAACCAGCTCAATGAAGTGGTCTGGGTGCCAGGTCCCTCTAGTTTTAACCCTGCAGCTGAAAATGTTTCACTGAGGGTTAATTCAGTCTCAAGTGGCTGTCTCATTGACAGCCGCTAGAGGAGCTTCTGCGATTCTCACTGTGAAAATCACAGTGAGAAGACGCTGAACGTCCATAGGAAAGCACTGGGTAATGCTTTCCTATGGGCGGTTTGAATGCGCACGCGGCTCTTGCCGCGCATGCGTATTCGGAGCTGAGAGGCAGATTGAGGCGGAGGGATCCCCAGCGCCAAGGGAGTCTGGTGCCGGAGAAAGGTAAGTGCTGAAGACACACACACACTCTCACGAACAGACGCATGCACACTAGCTAACAGACTCACATTTACTGACAGACACACACTCAGTGATAGACATACATACACACTCACTGACAGACAGACACATACACACTTACAAAACACACACTCACTAACAGACACCAAACAGACTCACTAACAGGCGCACACAAACTAACACACTCAGTAACACACTCACTGACACACACAAACTAACACACACACACTATAACACTAACACACACACACTAACACACACACTCTAACACTAACACACACACACTATAACACTAACACACACACTCTAACACTAACACACACACACACTCTAACACTAACACACACACTTTAAAAAAAAAATGAATCCCCCAGCCTCCCTACCTTTGGGAGTGCTGAGGGGATTCCCTGGGGTCCAGTGGTGTTGCTGGGCGGCCGGTCACCGGGCATCAGTACGCGCCGCGCGAGGGAGCTGGACAGAGAGCGCTCAGCCAGGGAGAGTGCTCCCTAGCGCGCGCGCCAGCCTGCCCGGTGACACCAGGGCCAGCCTCGGGGGGCCCTGAGGTGGCCAGCTCCTGGGCCCCCCAGGAGAAGAGGCTGACCACACTGGCGTACATACTGGGTCGCAGGACGGCCGGGCCTCCTGGTGGGCCGGGCCCAGTCGCAGCCGCAACCCCTGCGACCCCTGTATGTACGCCACTGGTTTTAACCTTCTATTCACGGCAGGAATAATGCCAGGAATACAGCTTTGTATCTTGCCCCTATAGTATCCCTTTAAAGTCCCCCACCCAATGCCCATGGGTGAGGGCATGGGCGATCAGGTACTCCCAGGAATTTTACAGGCCCTATCTCCATAGAATATAGTCTTTCTAACCATTGGGCAGCAATGACTGCTCAGTTGCTAGTTTTACATGTTTGTTTTTCATTTTCATGGCAGATGGGGGCATAAGGCAAGTCTATCTGGCCTATAGTAATATGAGATATATATAGTTTTCGTAAACGTGACTGCTGACAAGTGTTAAGCCTTGTTTTCAGATCTTACTGATTTTTAACTTTGGCAGCATTTACATCAGGAAACAGTTTAAAAAAGACATGTTGAATTATGATCATGTTTAAAAAAAAAAAAAAAAAAAAAAAAGCGCTATATTTCAGAAACCATTCTCAAACGAAAACCAATCGTGACATTGTGATCGAGGATTCAGTGACCGAAGTGGTTCAGATCTATTTTTAGAATCATTATTATCTGTATACAGATGTCACTTAGCATTTCTTTCCACAAAGCTCGTCATCAGTCCTCTTTAGATGTTTTCAACTGGTTTGTCAAGAATGCACCTTAATACATGAACATATGATTGTAAGAATTCCAATGAGATAATATGGGCTTATCATGTTCATATTTAAACAGGATTTGTCACTTGAGGGGTTGTGTACAATCTGATATCTAAAAGTAATATCTATATTGTGCTAATTATTTATTTTTTAATATACATACCTCCCAACATTAGAGATGGACCAAGAGAGACAATTTAATTTTAGTGGTGTGGATGGTGGTATGGTCTGGGTTGAGGCTGCTTGTAGTGTCACTTCCCCCGAGACTTGACACTCAGTCAGAGCAATCTGATTGGGGTTCAATATGGATGTCATATTGACCACCGTAGGCTCTTTATGTATTTGGTTGTAATAAGCTGCCATATAAGTAACCCTTGTGCTGCCAAGGTGTTTTGCCTGCTGGTTGCTAGCGCTGCCAAAGAGCAAACAAGATTTTTAAAATATAGATACAAAAATTAGGTGCACACTATGTACTGTAGAAAGGGTTGCAGTACATTTTACAAGAATTCCCCAACCTTGTGACAATGCAGAGATAAAAAACAAAAAAACTGATAAAAAGCACCTAAGAACAGATAACCTTTAAGTGCAATGACACAATAAAAACATATACATACATGCGTCAGACTAGATGTTGCTTCTGTATAATATTAGGATATATTTGTTGTTCTGGTGAGTATAATAGCTCCCTTCAAAGAAAAGGCAGTGTTTACATTGCCCCTAGGGACACCTCCATGTGGCCACTCCTTAGATGACCACTGCTTACATGTTTGTGTTCCTGACCCTATAGTGATCCTTTAACCCCTTAAGGACACATGACATGTCATGATTCCCTTTTATTCCTATTACCCCCAATATAAACAGCGATTTTCTCAATATAGCTTAGATATCCTGATACCATTGGTGAATACATGTTGAGTATCTCGATTAGTTCTCACTGTATCACTGTTCTCACTGTTTCACTGTAGACTCCCATCAGGTCCCGGCACATTTTGTCTTCTCTATCCACAATAAACCACATATATTTTTCCCTTTTCTAAGTTTTGCTTGTCTTTAAATTCGAGGTTGGCAGAACTATTTATCACTCCTTCCTGTGGGTGGTTGATAGTTGTGTGATATCACTGTAGAAGTTCAGACTGAGATGTGAGCAATGGTGAGGGACCAGGCTGGTGCTGTAGCTCCAGGAGGTCCCAGGTGGAGCAGGGAAGAGGCAGACAAAGTAGCAGATTCAGGTTAGTATCCAAAGTCAGCAACCAGGCACCGTGATCTTGTTACACACATCTTTTCCAAGAGCCTTCAACTTCAGTAGGTTCAAATCCAAGTTTCTATTTTCTCTTAATGTGATACATTCTTAAAATATTTAATATAAAGCCACTGGGGGTACATAAGAGGGGATATTAATAAACAAAACATAAAATTACATATACTCTGCACAATAAAAATGATTATATGCACCAAATCACAAAAAATAGCATTGAGGCTAAATTTGATTAGTACACAGTTCTTATCTGGAACATCATAGGGACTACTATTGGCCGAGATTTCTGCAATAATCTTGATGAAGAGAACATCCCCGCAGAAGAAACAGATCCAGAGAGTTTGATACAAACTAAGGAAATTCAGTGATTATTCATTCAGTGATATGTATTTTTTTATTCTTTTTTCGAGAATGAACTTTATTATACAATAAATCTATTTCAAATTTTTTTTTTCATTGCTGTAGCCAATCACTGGAGCACAGTTCATAGACTTCAAAAAGATTTGCCTCAGGTGACTTCACTGAGAATGAAAAAAATATTGCATATAAGTTATTTCTTGTGAGTTCTATAAAAACAACATATTTAACTAAACCCTGTTAACCTAAATCTCTGAGTTAGAGACAAAAGGTGTTGTAAACAAAAATTTTACTGTGTCATTTGAACAATTTGTTTTTCCAGAAAAAAAGATTTTCAGTAGTACAGTCAGAAATATTATTTTTATCGCCACGGACAATATGATAGAGGTCATGTGACTTAAGACCAGTTAAGACCAAAGCTACAGAGTTGGGTCCAAAAGTCCAGAACAAAAATAAAATAGGTGGTTGATGGCTAATCCATTCAAGATATTTCTTCTTTACCCATGATGCTCAGACAGTGGATGGTTCTCATGGGCATTATGGGAACTGTAGTTTACAAAT